TACCCATATGGATTACCTAGTTTTGCATAAGCTAATATATATATATATATATATATATATATATATATATATATATAATATGAGAAACTTTATTAAAGAAAAGATCTGCCCTCTGGCAGGACCTAAACCTGCATACCCTTTTGTAGGAGAAGACATCATTAAGGCTGGCATGCATTTAACTGGCTCAACTATGAAGAGCATCGCCAATCAAGCATGGTTGAATACTACCTCTAAGCACAATTCTTCTCATTCCAGATTCCTGAAAGTTCATTTCTGCTCAGTTTTTTACCTGAAATGTAAACAAACCATTTTGTAAAGAAGTAATGGATTTTTTATTTATTAATCCCTCAGATTTGTATCACTTTTGAATACAAAACTGACCAGATATAAATTTTCAGGAATCTGGAATGAGAAGGATTGTGGTTGAAGAGTTTTTGGCCTTGCTTGATCAGTGATACCCTTCATGGCTGTGTTGGTTAAAAACACGTCAGATCTAACAGTGGTTTCTCCTGCAAACGGGACATAGTTTAGAGTCCTGCTAGAGGATATATATACATTATATTTACAAATTTCAGCTTCATTTGGGAATAGGTCAGAATATGGGGAAATGCGAGCTCAGATTGTCATGTAGCAAGTAATTTTTACTTCTTTTAAAAATAAGCATTCAAAATTCTCATTATTATCTGGGTTCAGACACCAGCTATTTTAAATAATATCTTAAAGTATGAAATGAATATAGGCAGTTGTTGAGAGCCATAATGATTCATATCCTGAAAGGACATTGCACTTAGTTTTCTCTTTATGAGCACATGTATAGAAGTATACATTTTGGTAAAGAATTAATGAATTTATTTTTAATCTGACATTTTTATTACTTCAAACTATCCACTGTAATAATGTTTGATGTAACAAGTATACATGTTTCTCCTTTATGTATATATGGGTCTGTATCCATTTTTGCTACATATATCTCCATTTATATTCACATAAAGATATATATGTTTCTCTCTCTTCTTCTAACAACAGTAAAATTTGTGTATAGTTTTCTGCACCTGCTACACATATTCTTATCACTTGTCACATTCTATCTTTGCAGCCATATCTTTGTTTATCAGTTGTAGCTTCTGCCTTCGTTTCATTCTATATTAGTTACCGACTAGGCCACGCCTTTGGCACTACATTACTCTATCTTGTCACCCTGCAGACGTTCATCACTTGCTATTTTCAGGGACCCTGGGGCTATAGAATCCCAAATATTGCAGTTTTTACTCTAAAGAAAAGATAACAAACAAAGGCTAATAAGAAGAGAGAGAGAGCAGCTGGCTTTTTACTTTCTGTGATTGCTGAACATATATATCATGGACTGAACATGTGAGTGATGACAAAATTTTAGAGAAAATGGAAACAAAAAGGACATTTATATTTAACATCATAATATGGAAAGAGGGCTTGGAAAATTTGATACTCACAGGAGAGATTGAAGGCAAGAGGGATATAGGAAAACCGTGTATAACCTACCTAATGAGCTTGTGTAAATGGATGACAGAACAGGGTTTAGGAGAGATAGCAAAAAGACAAAATTTTCTAAAGGACAGGAAATTGTGGAGAGCCATGATCACCAATGCCATTTTTGTTTAGAATAAAGTATTCAGGATCATCATCTCTCATTCTACTTTAGGAACCCAGGATGATTTAAGTCCTTTTATTACTGCCCACTGACATTACCATTACTCCACAACTGACTCAGTGTTATTTTCTGCATGAACAACTTTGTGGAAGCAAATTTTTACTTTCAGATTTTAAATTGGATTTGGCTTTCACTCTGTAAATTGTGCATTGACAATCAGGAAAAAAGAAATTTAGTGGTTAAGAATTTGTGTTACTGACAGAACAGAATTATTACATATATAATTAGGACTCAGTAATGTAAAGCTGCAATCCATTTGTATAAATATGAGAATAGAGGAACTTACAAATTTGATCTATGTGTGATGTCCCTTCAGGACATGGGCAATCATGGCTCTTCACAACTTCCTTTTCTTTGTAGCTCTTAGCAATGTTTGTGTTTTTGCTATCTCTGGTAACCTTTTATACAAGCTCATTAGGTAGGTTATTTGTGGCTTTCCTCTGTCCCTTTTGTTTTTAACATGACCTGTGAGTGTTAAATTTTCCAAGCCCTCTTTCCGCAATTATGTGCCCTAAAAATTTCAATTTTTTTCTTTCTGATTTTAAGTATAAGTGTCTTTTTTTCCCCATTTTCTCTAGAACCTTATTGTTGCTTACATGTTCAGTCCTTCTGCAGATCCATATTTCTGTTGGCTTAAATCTCTTCATCTTTGAGGAGATTATTCAGCATTCACTGCCATATAGGAGGACCAATATTGCATAACAGTCCAGTATGCTTTTCTTTGTTTCTAATGATATTCATTCTTAATTTGTGATTTTTTTTTTATGCTTATTTAACTACCATATTAAATAGTCAACTTGATCACCTTGGCTGACCAAACTGTTTGGTGCCATGGTTAGAGAGCCCATGCTACTTTGTTATTTAACCCATAGATGGAGGCTGAGAGATGGATTCATATCTTTCTCAAGGGTATTTGTGTGAAAATGAGTGCAACTATCTCAGCTGGAATTTGAACTTGGCATGTCAATTCCACTTAATGTACTGCTACATGTACATCATATTAAAATTATTAAATCTAAAAAAAAATATTTAAAATTATTAAATTAAAAAAAGAAGAAATTATCAAGTAAGGTTAGAAAGAATCTGGGAAATTAAGTTTCAAGTAAAATAAAATAATAGAAAGATAAATACAATCTGTAAAGGCAAAATTGTTGCTTTGAATGATGTTTGCAGTCTAAAATGTGTCCATTTTGTTAACATTCTGTTTGATTGATGGCCCCTTAGGAGAGAAAAGGATGTATATTTTAGCTCATGTCTGTGCCTACCTGGTGATTATTCTTTCTAGTCCTGGTTTTGTGGTTTCCTTATCTGCTTGCAGATGCCTATGTTAATTTATTTTCTGAAGTGTTCCTACTGCTTGGTCATCTTAGAATATATCATGTATGTTTAATAGGATGTCACTTCTTTACTCTCAGTAATGATTTTAGGCTGGAGAGGAAACAATGAATGGAAATGTTAAGAAACAAATGTGATATAGAATTTCATTTTATGAGGATTTTAAAAGGAAAAAAATATGGATTTATTCTTAGATTTTCATCCATCTTTTTCCCTCTTAAATTATTGACTTTCTTTATGCTTCTTTCTTTGTCCATGTTTTTAATATTTTAATGTTAATGCTGCATATGAAGTCATAAGTTGACTTTTTAAGCATTATGGAAGTGGTTTGACCTGATTTAGGGTTGGGTTGAGTTTTCCATCAAATATAATCCAAAGCCTGGATTAACACCTCAGAATTTTTATTCAGTGATTTATGCCATATGGTAAGTCAGATTTTTTTTCACTGTTTTAATGTCTTGCATTTAAAAAAAAAATCCTGTTTACAAAAATAGTTGTAGATCATTTATATTTTCCCTTTTTATGTTGATTTAAAGATTTTTAGTAATTTTGTGATTTCTTTTTTTGATTATTACAATAAAATGGCTACAAAAGGAACAGTTATGGTATCTATTATAATAAATGTTTTTGCAGCAACATCACTGTAATATACTTAATTTTTGTAGTGGTAAGGCTATTAAGGTACACAATTTCTTATGCTTGAGGATTTTTATTTCATTCAACCATTAACCAATATTTTGGATAAGGGGTGAGGCTCCCCCCCCCAACAAAAAAATTTACACAAAACATGTGACTTGATTATGTGCTCTGCTATCATTTGATCACGTGTAACATTGATGTATAGCACTGTGACCTGAGATCAAGCTATACCGTTGAATATAGATGATCTAGTTTTTCAACACTTATGAGTTGGTTATGAAATTTCAATTTTTTTTTTTATCATAATCATTTTAATGTCTTTAGGGTTTGTGTATGAAAATAGAAAAACCTTGTTTATATGAATTTACAATTTTAATATATTTGCCTTTTTGCATTTTTTTTTTTTTTAAATGAGAGAAAAAATATCCTGAAAAATTTGGTTGTTTGTCAGTCTAATTATTCTATGTAAATTTGAGAGACTATTTTGTCACTCCTGCTTTTGCAATCTGCTATATCATTGCAATCTTAGTGTCTGAGATTGTCAAACCAATGACAAACCAGTTCCATCATGAGAAACAAAATTCTGCCTTGATGTTGTTCTGAAATCATTGGAGGTATCTGGCTACAATTCTGTCTGACACAAACCAAATCCCTTCAGATATCGTCTTGCATCCTGTCTCAGCAGATAACATTGTGTTTGTTTATGGGTTCCTATTGCTAGCTTTAACATTTTCCAGTTGATAGATTTTGATGTAAACACATGAATACAACTTTGGTGTTCATGTGGATGGGAGTGGAAGTTTGAGAGTAGACTTTATACTGATTTTGTTTTAGTTATTGAATTATTCAACATTAGGTAGGAAGTTGGTTTAATTAATATCCTACCAAGAGAGAAGAATCAATTATCTAGAAGCTGTATTAGATTTGTTATCTTAACATTTGAAATTTTAATTTGTTTATTGTCTAGAAGGTTTGCCAACAAATTAGAATCCTTTTATTTTTATTCTACTTTTTTGATAAATCAAAATGTTACCATATAAAATTACAATTTTTAATTTTTTTTTCTAAAAGAAATATCTGAGCTTGATTGATTGTTTTTTATGGCTTATCAACTTTGTGCAACTTATTTAAAGCCAGAAAATATTTTTTGTTTGAAGACAATTCTTTTGGCTATAATAATGATTTTCTGATACCAATCCTACTAATTAATCCATAGCTAGGGGGAGAAGAGAGGAATTCATAACTTTCCTAAGGCTTATTTGCACATAAGTGAATATAACTGGAATTGGAACTCACCTCTACGACCATTATTCATTATACCATTTGCATATCCAAGTTTGGTATTCCCAAATGGTCACCCATCTAGGTACTGACCAGGTTAGACATTTCTTAACTTTGGTGATCGTATGAGAACTAGTGTTTCAGCGAGATGTGGTCATAAGCCACCTCATTGATCATTGAATATATTTAATGCAGAATATTCAAAATAGCTCACTGAATATTATTATATAGTAATAATGATTGTTTTTAATCACTTGTCCCAAGCAAGGTGATAATGTCACTAAGACACAAGTGATTACTGAGAGTAACATTCTGAGAAAAAAAAAATTAAGGGGAGAGGTAAATCAAAGAATATGATTCAAGGAGACAGAACAAATGATTGACATTGTATTTAAACTATTGAAGATCAAAGTTAACTGTAAAGGAAGAAGCTACAAGATAGTACCTCAAGTAAGAAGTAGGGGGGAGAGAAGAACCTGTTAGCATAAAACTTACAGTTGCATCTAACAATTTCAACTATAAAATGATATCTTGCTGCCAATCTAGTAGTACACTTAAAGTCTAGATACCAAACAGGAAAACTCATCAGAACAATTACCATGAAAATATTTATAGAAAAAGCAAAGGGAAGATTTGTTATGTCAATAGGAAAGTGACTGAAACTGATATGCTAGGTCAGGACTAATAACATTGCAGATTCTTCTTTGGGTTTTATCAAGAAACTAGAGATACAAACTAGCCTTTTTATTATTAATTGAATATTTCATTGAATATGTTCCTTATGCTAAAAAGCATCTAACCGTTATTCATTGATCATTGAATATATTAAATATATAATATTCATAATAGATCATTGAATAATAATAATAATTATATTCCTTTTTAGGCTAAAAAGCATCTGGCTTTTACTTGTTCCGCTTTGTTTTTTGCTCCATTTTAGAGGATAGTTATATATATATATATATATATATATATTGTATGAAAAAATACTTTTACAAACTTAGGGGGGAAGGTTCCTCACACCAAAACAAAGTAAAAATGTCCAGTTAAAGATGAAAAAGACCTGCTGAAAATGAAGAAATTAGAGGTATGCAAGCAGAAACTTTTATAGAAGTTAATTTTATTGTCAAAATAATTGTCTCATTAGGAAAGGCTGAAGAAAATTCTGATAAAAAAAATTCTGTAGGCACTGTAAAGAAATGGAGATATTTTTGAAAAGATATTTATTTATAGACAAAAAAATAATTGTAATAATTTCCATTAGAAAATTTTTTTAATAATTTGATTTTAAAAATCTGTCGTAAATCAATTATTGCATAAAATAATCATTACTTATTTAATAAAGGACAAAAATTCATCTTAGAAATTTTAATTCTAAATTCGCAATTCACCTTAGCTATATTTATTGTAATGTATCTTGTCTTCCATACTTATTTTACAAAGGATAGAAATTGTTTTTTGATATTTCCATTCTCAATTACCATTAAGTCTGATTTATGCTGATATAACTTGTTCTTGTATCAGTAATATACTATTATGCATTATTTTACCACTTTTTTTTTTTTTTTATCCTAAACTTCACTGGTTTGGGAAATCTATAACTATGATCCCTGTTCACTCCCAAGTTTACCAAGTTAGAATTAAAGCTGAAACTCACAAATATTAAAATTGAGAAGCATTAAATGGAGATTCTTCAAAACTGTTTCTTATCATTTTCTTGTTTTTTCTGTCCCATTGTCAGTCATCTTGACCCTGGTCTTGTCACTGGTAAGATTAAGAGAAAAGTGTAATCTTCTTGTATCTGTCTATATTTCTGAGATGAGGTATTATGTACACTATTTACATTATTCGGACTATTGTCCTCATCTTTGTCACCATATTTATTACAATGTTTCGGCCGTTGTACGCTCCAGCCTTCTTCAGGTGGTTGGAATGTTGAACTGAACCCTTTATTTTGCTCACTGGGGTAGACTATTCTAGTTCCAAGGACACCTGGCATAGTAGATAAAGGTGTTGGTTAGATCCAGTGATAGGACCCAAAGAGTTGTGAGTTCAATATCCGGTTAAGGCAGTGGAGGACTTGGAGAGGGGAATTAACAGAAGATAACTGATAACTGACATCCATTAAACATGGCACGTGGAACTAGAACAGTCTACCCCAGTGAGTGAAATAAAGGGTTCAGTTTGCTATTCCCACTACCTGAAGAAGATCGGAGCATACAATGGCCGAAACATTGTAATAAATATGGCGACAAAGATGAGGACAATAGTCCGAATAATGTAAATAGTGTAATCTTCTTGATACTTGCATAAGCAGTTACAACAAAATAGCTGTTTGTCTCTATTTCAGAGATGAGGTGTAACTATTTACATTGTCTGGAATGTTGTCCTCATCTGTATTGTCATATTCACAATGTTTCAGATATTGTTCAGGTGATATACATTGTTATTTTGAACCAAACCCTTTATTTAGCCCTTTATCTAGTTCCACATGCCATGTCTTCTTTAGATATCTCGATTTCTGTTATTTCCCTTTCGTAACTATTCTCCAAGTTTTTGTTCACCTCTGCTGTGGCCAGGTATTGAACTCACAACTCTTTGGGTCAAGTTACTTTTGGATTACTTCAACCAATGTTTATATCCACTAGAACATAGCTCCAGGAATATGACAATAAAGATGAGGATGACTGTCTGAACAATATAAATAGTTTAAATAAAATAGCTGTTCTATCCATTTTTAGCCTTGACACATAGGTTTCTGTATTTGATGTATATAATGCTTGTCAACAGTATTCAAATCTGAATATTTTTAATTTTCTACTCATCAATTGTTCCACTTGATATAAACAAGCTTCTCCTCCTTCCCTCAATAATCTTCTTTCAAAGCCACACCTAAGGCCATTTTTATCTCTTTCTCTCACTCTCATTATTTTTATACCCTGGTAATTTTTTGCATTTAGCACATGCATCTTCACCCTTAAAACTCAAGGGAACAGCTTCTTGATACTGTCTCTTTTTTTTTTTTTTTTCCTCTTCATTCCATTATGACAAATCCTTAGCTTCTTGTGCTTGCCACACCCATTTGGAACCAGTCTGGGAAAATATAATAATGAACTAAAGCACTGGTAACTTACCCATCTACTCTTTCCCTCTACAGTCCACACCTTGACAGATTTCCTCCTCTTCCTTTATATTGATATCTCAGCACTGTCTCCTCCCATAGGTTTGTGCATTGCTGCAGACCTTTTATATAAGCACTTCAGTTGCAGGCTAAAGAGGCCAGGCCAGTGGCTGCTCATATACAGCCATGTAGTAACTGCAGTCTATCCACAAACTAAAAAGCTAGTTGCTCTATATCTTGACTTATTGCTGGCTATTCTTTGTCATCTTAAACTCAGTGTGTGTTTGTGTGTTTCCCTTTTATAAGTATACTTTAATAATCCTCATTTGTATTGGCAGTCAAAAGCTTTGTATAATAGTTTCAAAAATATCCTAACTTTTGTGTGTAAGGGATTTTTAAATATATATTTCTGAAAATTGCTCACATTGTAATATTATAATTTTCTGTATTTGACTTAGTTCCTAAAAGAAAGATGCTCACTCTCTTATAAATGCACAGATACTAGTTTACTCATCCTATCTAAAAATGACAGCAAATAAAGTAGTTTTGTAATTGCATTGTATTAACAAAATATCATAAACTGTTTTCTTCGCTTATGTTTATTTCCTGAATATTGAAATAACAACTTCCAATTCACCATTGAATAATTCTCAAGTTTTATCAAGTTGAATATTATATAAAATTGTAATTTTATTACATCACCAAGACAGTCCACTATTACTGAGAAGTGGGCAATTTGCCTATTTATGTGTTATGGAAACTTAATAATCTAAAAATGTATTACATATGCATACATAACATAATTATTAATTTATTAGATAGTACAATAATTTTTTATATGGATTTATCAAGCTGAACTCAGTATAATACAAAGCCACAAATATGAGGCACCCAGTGAAGATAAAACTGATTATTTAATAGTAATGATCTGTGACACAAGCTTACTATTTCATCAAAGCAATGGACTTGCTTATTAAGCTTTTTTTTTTCATTTATTTTTTTAATCAATTCACCCCAAGCAAGGCAATAATGCCACTAAGACACAGGGGACTACTGGAGAGAAAAAGAATAAAAAGACTTTAGAAGGAATTGGAAACCCTATCCTAAACAGGAAATAAGAGAAAACCTTTACTCTTGTTCAAAAAAACAAAAAAAAAAAAAAAAAAAACAGAGAGGAGTGTGAACCGGACAATAGGCAAGAATATCTACTCCTATTGAGGAAATGGTAAATAAAATTTCAGAGTTTAGGTGGAACCATTAGAAGTATAGAGTTGAATTAGACTTTAGAAGAAACTGTAAACTCTTTTCTAAAGAGGAAACAAGGGATAAACCTCTACTCCTGTTCAAAATACTGAGGTGGAGTGTTAACCAGATGACAGATTAGTAAGGTATAAGGCCACTATTACAGGGAACCTGGTCAACCTTAGTGCACAATTTAGCAGGTTTGTGAGCTATTGCTCTAATCTAGACACCTATGAAAGTACTTTTATATAACTATATGTTTGGTATGCACAGTAGTAATAGTTAATAAATTACTATTTCTGATTACTTTCTAATATTTGTTTTCAATTTTTGTAGGTACCTTTAATATAGGTACCTACACTTTTTCACTAAAAGACAGCATAGCATAATGAAAAAAGGCCCCAAACATCAAAATGTTTATTATTAAGAGGAAAGAAAGTATTTTTGTTTTTTTTTTTAAATTTTTTACTCCTTTCTAACACATTTGAAATTTTGGTTAAAAACCTTGTTTGTTTGTTGTTTTTTTTTGTTTTTTTTAACACATCAATGGTGTACCTGAGCTGACTAAAATGTCTCCAAGTCTTAACTACTTTATTTACATTCAAAGCCATGTCCTCCTCTTTGTTGTGATTATCACAATGTTTAATCCATTGTGCTTTAATCCATTATGCTATTGTCCCAAACAAAACAGGATATCCTTAGATATGTACAGTGGAGCAAGAGTAATCTATCCCTATAGATTAAATAAAGGGTTCTGTTCAAAATTCCTTGAATGTTGCCCAGATTGACAGACAC